CTTTTATTGGTACAAAGAACAGTTTTCTGGGACCCAGATAGGGCAAAGAAACCTGGTTCTACATGAAAGCAGAACTGGGTGCCAATCAGATGCCAGAAATGGAAACATTCACAAGGGAGAGTGGGAGGAAAGAGAGAGAGAGAGAACATCTCAACGGTCCCCATGCTTCAATTTCCCAAGGAAGAAAGTTCAAAGCCAGAGGAGACTATCAGGATGCTGAGTTGCATCTCTCCAGGGCCTTGCAGGAACAAACGGAGGACATTAGCATAATTAAGCAAACTGTTAAATTAGCATAACAAACCCCTAATAATTAATTACTGCTAGTGCAGTGCAGCTCAGCTCTGTATAGGAGAGACAGAGACTAAATTTCAGCGGCTCATTTTGGCTAGAAATAGGCTGCCAGCTGAGGGTCAGGTGATGCAGCTTCTCTGGTCCAGGGAAAAACTCCCTCAAGTGGTTTTGGGTTGGACCTTTGCAATTTTGTTTTCTTGCTTGCATAATCATGGCTTACTGGATGTCCAGTGTCCTGACTCGCTTTCTTAAAGCTTAAATCTGTTCTCCTACGGACGTTCTTGCATTCGTTGCAATCGGAGGCTGAACATGTTGCTAGCTTCTCCCTCAACTGGTGAATGAATTAATAATAATAGTAGTAGTAGTAAAGTTGTAAGGGACCTTGGAGATCATCTAGTCCAACCTCCTGCTCAGGCAGGAAACCCTATACCATTTCGGACAAATGGCTGTCCAGTCTCTTCTTAAAAACTTCCAGTGTTGGAGCATTCACCGCTTCTGGAGGGAGGTTGTTCTACTGGTTAATTGTTCTAACTGTCAGGAAGTTTCTCCTTAGTTGTAGGTTGCTTCTTTCCTTGATTAGTTTCTCCTTGATTAGTATTGATTGATGGTGAACTGTAACAGAATAACAATTCCTTTGGCAAAGCTACTCCCGCTTGGATCCGAGACTTCCCTGGAATGAAAAGCTAGCCTAGACGGAATACACGTTAATGCTCTTTAATGTGTAAGGGAGCTGCCATTATACACCCATTTTGGGCTTTTGAAATGCGCGAGTATGACTTTCGGCTCTGCGTTAACGTTTTTTGCATCGGTTAGCCGTTCCGTCCCGCCTTTGAGAAGCATTGCAGCAAAATAATCAAAACAATAAAGCAATGCAATCATATCGCATTAGATGCGGGCGGGCGGGCGCGGGCGCGGGCGGGGGGAGGGAAGGGAATAAATGCACCCGGTAAAACACCCGCTTGCTGGCTTCGCAGACTGCAAGGATGCAGACGTTGCTTGCTAAGAAGGCCACGAAACGCGGCTGGCTGGCTACATTCTGAAGGCTGGCTTGTGTTCCGTGTGTACCGATCATGCTAAAGCACTTCGCGGGCTCCCAACAGCTCCGGCAGAACGCAGAATTGCGGTGCCGGGACTCCGAACCGCCTCTGGGGGAGGGGGGGGGAGCCAGCAGCCTCCCCGGGCTTCCTTACGGCAGTTTTCAGCGGGCTCAACTCTACTTTGAGGACATCGGGCACCGTTTCTTTCGCTACGGCAAAATCAGGGCGCGAAGCCTCCGGGGAGCCCTCCGTGCCTGGGCCAGGCGCTTCCTCTCTGCCTCCCACAGGGCCTAAGGGGATCCCGCAGGCCAGCATCCCAGGCCGCCGCCTGCTCTCTCGCTTGGCACGGCTCCCGGGCCCCCAGAGCGCAGGAGGCGGCGGCAAGCCCAGCCCGAGGGACCCCAGCTAAGCGCTCGGGGGCTTCAGAGGCCCAAAGGCGGCCCGGGACGGAGGGCAAAGCGGAAGGCCAGCCGGCGGGAGCCAGCGATCTCTCCCGCAGCCTGGCAGCGCCCGCCTCTCCCCACCTCCACCCCCGGCCCGGCGGAAGGTGGGCCTCGGCGCTGCTGCCTCCCAGCGGCCCGCCCTGCCCGATCCCGTTTCTCCCAGCCGAGGGCGGCCCGGCAGCCGGAGAGGGCGGCCTGCTGGCCCGAAGGGAGGAGCCGCTGCCCAGCCACTGCGGGGGGGAGAGGGGGCTCGCCTGGCAAGAGGAGGCGCTCTCGGGCCCGCCAGACCCCCCCCCCACCACCAGTACGGGGCAGGGCGGCGTCGGGCGAGGCGGGGCGCCGGGCGGGCCGCCTTCTGGGTGGAGGCGCTGAAATAGAGGCGGGCGGGCACGCGCCCCGGATCCGCCAGGAGGGAGGGAGGTCTCGGCCAGGTAGAGGAGCCCGATGTGCGGCGGCAGCAGCAGCCAAGGCAGCAGCAGCAGCAGGAGGCGGAGGAGGCGGAGGGCGTGAGCCGCGCAGGGCGGGCCAGGCGCCTTCTTCCCGCAGAGCTGCCGCTGCCCGATGGCTACCCGGGTGTTGAGCATGAGCGCTCGCCTGGGGCCCGAGGAGCCCGTCTTCGCGCAGCTCAAGCCTGTGTTGGGCGGCCGGGAAGGGCCCATCTTCGCCCCGGCGGCTCCAGAAGAGCTCAAGCCGCCGGCCCCTCCGCAGCCGCCCGGCGCTGCCCGGATGCCCGGCGAGGAGATGGTGCAGGTGAGCGAAACGGCCGCGCGTGGGGACTGGCGGCAGCGGCGGCGGCGGCTCTGGGGACAGACTTCCCCGGGGCATGGGCAAAGGGCGGGTGGCGGCCCCGGCGGCTGGGCGGCTTGGGTGTGTCCTGGCCTCGGCCGAGCTCCGGCTGGTGTTGGGTGGGGCAGGCGGGCGGGCGAGCGGAAAGGAAAGTGAAGGAAAGGGCAGGGAAGGGAGAAAAGGAAAGAAGGAAAGGAAAGTGAAGGGAAGGAAAGGACAGGGAAGGGAAGGGAAGGGAAGGGAGAAAAGGAAAGAAGGAAAGGAAAGGGAAGGAAAGGACAGGGAAGGGAAGAGAAGGACAAGGAAGGGAAGGGAAGGGAGAAAAGGAAAGAAGGAAAGGAAAGGGAAGGAAAGGAAAGGACAGGGAAGGGAAGGGAAGGGAGAAAAGGAAAGAAGGAAAGGAAAAGCGCTGGCCCATCGGAGCGCCCCGGTCTCCCGCGGGTACACGGGGCTCGGTCCGCTTTCCAGGGGCCTGTCCCGATAAGGGCTCTGCGGGGGCCACACCCGCTTGGGCAACCTCTGGGCCGGCCGCTCTTCCCGAAGATAGCCGGACGGGGCTTTCCATCTGCCCCCCCACCCACCCCTCCCGCCCCAGGTCCCAGCCGCTTTCGGACCTGCTGGCATCTTTCCAGCGTGGCCGGGCTCCGCGGCTCCTCTTCCCGCACGTGGCCGTGCGCGCGGGGGAGCGGGCGGGCCGGCCGGCCGGGTTTCCCCTGGGCCCGGGCCCGGGTGCCTGCGCTGGCTTTCCCCGGCGCGCTGCCCCTCCCTTGCGGCGGGCGCGGGCGGGCGGGGAGAGCGGCAGCTGCCACCTTGTGCCCGGCCTGGCTAAGCCAGGCGGAGCGGCCCGCGCTCGCTCGCTCGCCCACGCAGTCATTTTAGACGGGCTCGGGCGGCTGCCCTTTTTGGAACAGCTGGCGAAGGCTAAAGTGGGAAAGCCGCCGAGCCGCCAGGGACGCCGGCTCCCACTCGGGGCGCCCGTGGGGAAAGCTTCCCTCGGCTTTTTTCCTGGAGTGGGCAACGGTGGTGGATGAAACCGGGTGGAAAAGTCGGTGGGTGCCTAACGCTGGGAAACGAAGACCAGTGCTGGCTTGCCCGCGGCTTTGGTTGGACACCCCCTGCCCCTATGAAGGTATAGGGAGGATCGGACTCAGGGAGGGGCCGGAGGCTTTTTTCTTCTCTCCCCCCCCCCAAAACCAAACAAACCCAACAACAACAGCTCCGCTGGTGTAAAGGAGAGCGGCGGAAAGTCCGCGGCTGGTCTCAGTTCGGACAGGCGGGCGAGCGAGCGAGCGAGCGAGCAGGTTGGGGCGGGGGGGGGGCGAAGCAGACTTGGGGAACCGCGAGGAAGCCGTTTTCTCAGCCCTGGGCCGGCTGTCATCCGGAGGGGATTGCGGGGGTTCCTTCCCGAGGGTAGAGGGCAGACATGGGAGGGGGGTCGTCCCGCGGCGCGCAATCCCTGCTTGGCTGGGCGCGGGTCGCCTGGCTGGCCTCGGAATCCCCTGGATCCGCGCAGGATCGTGGAAGGGGGTCTCCGAGAAGAGGAATCTTCCCCGGGGTCAACGAGTGAGAGAGGTGTGTGTGTGTGTGTGTGTGAGTGTGAGTGAGTGAGTGAGAGGGAGAGAGAGAGAGAGAGAGATGAGTGGGAATGTAGAGACCGCTGAAATCCACCATCTCAAGCCTCCAGGTCAGGTCAGGTCAGGTCAAGCTTTAGGATCGCTTCCACCCCTGCGCGTGCCCTCTCTGGAAGTTGACCCCAAGCCTGCAAGTCTGAGAGGGAAGGCTGCGGCCTGCGAAAGGGGCCTTCCAGTCCGTGCCGGTGGGTGGGAAACTCTCTCGGAGAGCCTTGCCCGGGGACCAGCCCTGGGGTAAAGGGAAAGCCTCCAGAAGATCTGGGGTGGGGGGTGTGCAGTGACGCCCGACCTAGGCACGGTCTTTAGTTCTCGCAAACCAAAAATGTTTAGAGACTCCTAAGTCTGTTGTTTCACAAGAGATTTTCACACCCTAGCTGCTTGCCTCCTGTCCTCTCCATGGGAAATTGTTGTGATCTTCTCTGTAAGACACCCCGCCCCCCTTTAAAAAGTTACACAAAAGTAGCCCTAACAATTTCCTATTTGATTTTTATTTCTTCTTTCCTTCTCAGCTATAAACCTTTTTTTTGGGGGGGGGAAGTGCGTTTGAATGTTAGTAACTCGGGTTGGTAGTTGGATGTTGGTTTGAATTCCAAGCTTTGAATTCTCCAATGGTGACCAAACATTTGCAACCAAATTGCCAAGCTCGGAACTCAAACCAACAACTCATAAAACTTTTTTGCCTGCCTGCCTGCCTGCCTGCCTGCCTGCCTGCCTGCCTGCCTGCCTACCTACCTACCTACCTACCTACCTACCTACCTACCTACCTACCTACCTACCTATCTATCTATCTATCTATCTATCTATCTATCTATCTATCTATCTATGAGGAGGGGGACAGCCTTAAGATGCCAAAGAATCCAAGCCAGCAGAGTGTCTGCATTCTTGGAAGCCTTGATTTAAAAAAAAAAAAAAAAAAAAAACTTTAGATGAAATGTAGTAAATGGCATGCGGTGCCTTTTCATAACTAAACGCTTTGCCACCCAGTTGTATCACTTGCTATAATTAGCCTTCCAAGATAGTGTATCCAATAGTTTAATTTTCGCTTTTGATTCTTCTACCAAACGGCTTTAAATAGTTATTCTTATATGCCTCTTCTCGAAGGTGTAGTCGGGTAGGAAGATGAAGCATGTGTCTGTCAACGCGAGGTCCTCCTCTCTCTACTTGCTTTTCTTAAAATAACTCAGTAAAAACTTTCTGTTTGGACTGGACGAAAGACCTGCTTTTTTGAGGAATGTTCTTGCAAACTTAACTCAAGACCTGAACAATTCCCGAAAGTGAGTCCTGCTGGTGAATTTGAATTTTAATCTCTGTTCCTGCTCAGGTTGCTATGTTCTCAAGTAGAGGCATCCAATTCAGGAATAGACTGGGGTTTCTTCGACTAGCCTCTGGGTGAATTTTCCCCCATTCTTTGCACTTCTGGATCATGAAGACTGTGTCCTAGATTAAATTTGAAGGTGGCTTTTCTGGGGTGATTTGTAAGAAATCTCATCCCGGGCTCGATTTTTGTAAAAATGTGTTGAGGTTCCTAACGATTCCAGGCGCTAAGCTTATCTCTTTCTCTTTCTCTTTGTTTCTCTTTTTGGCTGATTTCCTTCTTATCCAGACCCGATGCGAGATGGAGAAATATTTGACCCCCCAGCTTCCTCCCATGACTCCCCTCCCCGAGCACAAAAAGTACCGGCGGGACAGTGCCTCGGTGGTGGATCAGTTCTTCACCAACGGCGACGGGGTGCCTTACAGCGTCAACATGAACCTCTACCTGCCGGACCTGTCCCAGCTGAGGACGGGCCTCTTCAAGGCCCCCAGAGGCCCCGCTACCCACATCAAGACGGAGCCGGTCGGTGCCTTCAACCACCAGGGTGAGGCAGCTCCGGTGGCCCCCAACTCTGCCCAGGCGCTCCCCGAGTTTACGAGCATCTTCAGCCCCCACCAGGCGCCGGACGTGAACAGCCTCTTCATCAAGCAGGAGATGTCTGCCGTAGATCTGTGCCTCTCTGTGCCTCCGCCCCAGCAGGGCCAGCTGTACCAGCTCCTCAGCTCTCCTGATTTAGACCTGCCAAATGCAGCGGGCATGGACTCTCTGAGCAACGTCTCTCTGTCTTCCTCCATGACAGGCCTGAACACCCTCTCTCCAGCCATGTCCCAGACCCCCATGAAACCGTTCCACAGGGTTCCTCCTTGCACGTACGCTATGCCCAGCCAGTTTCTGCAGCAGCCAGCCACCTACTTCCCTCCTTCGCCCCCAAGTTCAGAGCCTGGTAGCCCCGACCGGCAGGTGGAAATGATGCAGAATTTAACCCCGCCTCCGTCTTACGCTGCCACCATCGCTTCCAAGTTGGCCATCCACAACCCAACCTTGACCGCCAGCCTCCCCATGAATTCGCCCGGCATCCCGACCGTCAGATATAATCGGAGGAGTAACCCCGACTTGGAGAAGAGACGGATTCATTACTGTGACTACCCTGGTAAGCTTGAGGAAGGGGAACAGAACAAATTCTCCGAGAAAACGGGCCTCTTAGTAGCTAGCTTTTCCTTCCAGAAACTCTTCCAGAGGTTTTCTTTCTTTTCTGCAACATGGCCGCTGATCTGTCCTCCTAGAGCAGTGGTTCTCAACCTTTCTAATGCCGCGACCCCATAATACAGTTCCCCATGTTGTGGTGACCCCCAACCACTTATACATCACCGGGTGCCAGGGGCGTGGCCAAAGAAAAGGGAGAAAAAATGGCGGACAGCCTTGTTTGGCGACCCCCGTGAAATGGTCATTCGACCCCAAATGGGGTCCCGACCCACAGGTTGAGAACCACTGTCCTAGAGCATTTTTCATGTTGTTTCTAAAAGAAGAGAACATTTAATAAAACAATGCACCTTAAGCATATGCAAGGTTTGAACGTAAAGGGAAGCCAACGTCATAAGCCAGCGTTCCACATCTCACATCTGAACATTCACATGAGCTTGTTGGCTGAGAATGATGGGAAGTGTAGTTCACTCACGGAATTGGAGAAGACTAACAGTCGTAGCGACTTGAAGTCGTAGCTACTTTTCTTCATGTTTTTTGAGCCCTGCTAGCAGCATTTTCCCTGATTTAACTAGAAATAGGTTGAAATAAAGGATGAATGCTTTCCCAGGTAGATAGCAGATTCTGTTAATAATAATAATAATATAAAGTTGGAAGGGACCTTGGAGGTCATCAAGTCCAACCCCCTGCTCAGGCAGGTAATCCTATACCGTTTTGTTATGTGTTAATAACTGATTTTGCTGTTGAACACATAGCTTGTAAGAGAAGTGGATAAAATGTGAGATGCGTAATTATGGGAACTAGAAGATTCTTGATTGATTAATTCTACTTGCAGTTTAGGATAGTAAATGTATTGAGTTGAAAATGTAGGTGTGGTTGATTGTGACTTGTGTGTATCACTAGCAACTCCCTTTTTGCTCTGGGCAAAAGCTAGACATTGGAATGAATTTCTTAAATATATTAGGGCCACCAATTAGAACTATCAGAAGCATTGCAGTTTTGGGGTGATTGTTTTCTAGACGTTAAATGCACTTGACCCTTAATGTCCCTTTCTGATTTTCTATCTTAGGTTGCACTAAAGTGTACACGAAATCTTCCCATTTAAAAGCACACCTGCGAACTCACACTGGTATGTGTTGTTGGTTTTTGTTTTTGTTTTGCTGGTTGTGATTTTACTATAAGTATAAATTAGCCATCCTGTTTTTCTCTGCTCTGCTTGAAAAGGTTTAACTTGATTTGCTCAAAACGGAAGAGTTATAAATCAGCCACGCCGGTTACTAAAATGAAGGACACCTTTAAAGCTTTAGAAAATAAAGAGGGTGAATTTGAACAGTGAATAAATACCCTCTTTGAAGCTGTATTACTTTCCTCCTCCACCCCAGCCTTTTCCAGCTGAATTATGCTGCCATTTAATGCATGCTGTCATTTTTTTTGATGGAATCTCTGTGCATCAAACCTTAGTTTAGCACCATTAAAACCATGATCGTGACACATGCTTGGGGTTACACTGCAAATCTCAACGGCCCTTATCCCCATTCATTTCATAAAATATATATTTCATAAAAAGTTGATTTCCTGCCCAACAGCCTGTTTTCTTCTGCCTTCTGCTCAACGGTAAGGCCTACATCAAATTAAATAAATGATAAACATTTGTTGAAGTTCCGTTCCACGATAAACTCGGCTTTCTTTCTCGAGCTGAATGAGCAGACTTAGCATGCGATAAACTTGATAAGTCTGGTCTGAGATTGCATGTACTGTCGGCCAGGTATCGTCGGCTGGAAACTTAGAGGCTGTCTCCTCGTGAGGATCCCTTATTTGGTGGAGGTTCATAAAGCCAGGCAGTGTGGCCAGTTGATTCTGCATATATGGGTTTTTTTATGGGTTATTGAGTCAGTCCGTAGGATAAAACACTTTTCAAAATAGATTGCCATTTGGTGGTTCTTTTGTGTGGAAAACAGCCTTGAAATATGAGGTCAGATCAACCAGGAGAAGCGTCTGTCAGCTAAACGATTCAGCACAGATTCGATAGAACAGCTAAAATCATCTAAAAGGCGTTAAAACCTTTGAGCAACAACCCTGAAATTTTGTTTCGGTGTAATTCTGATTGTCAGAACGGCTTGCTTGCTGCGGTTTATGAGATTTTGGGTGTGCAGTTGAAATGGCTCCCTTCACCCTCCTCGTTCAGAGCTGAATCTGGTTTTTAAATGGGGGGAAAAAAAAAGATTTGAGTCTGGCTTCATCTATGGAACAAGGGCCCGTATTCAACGTTTGCTCATTGCGGAATGACTGAAATATCTCCGGGCAAAAAGAGTTACTATGGAAATCAAGTTTTGATAAACGAAGCCCGTTCTTTCTCAAAAGAACCCAAGCAGAGAGAAAAGGTTAACAGCAACAGTCATAAAGCAAGTTTTCCTAATGGTTGGCAAAGGTTGCCGAGCCTCAATTCTCACCCGGGATGGGAAATTTTACTCATCTAGGCTTCCCTGTCTTTGCTGGGTAGTTTCAGGGGACGGCTGTTGAAAATTTGGGATTATTCATCCTCCGACAACTCAAAACTGCAGTGCCATCAGGTTCCTCAAGTTGAATAATCCCAAATATAAATTCAGGTTGAATAATCCTCAGGTATTTCCCCTGAGCCTAGACTTCTGGGGACACCCAGCGAAAGACAAAGCGGTCTTGTTGTTTTTTTGGCACCGTCTTACTTGCTTGGGCTTAGCATGGCTTGCAGCCGAGGCCAGTCTGAGTTCAACAAACCATAGTTTGTTTGTTTGTTTGTTTCTTTATTACAACGTATTGGCTGCCCACCACAGGGCAACTCTGGGCGTCTTACAATGTTTACGGTTCAAAATACCAAAGTCACCAATTTGTGTGGGCTGTTCATTCTGGTCTCACACGAGTTGTCCAAGAGAAATCTTTTTTCTTCTTCCCGTTATGCCCCAATGAACAACTTCCGCCAGTGTGGAAGGAGGTCTAAGAACGCCTCTCTCTGAAAAACAGAGCGAAGGTACCTCGGGCTTCTGTTTAACTTGCCTTATGCGAGGAGCAGCTGTACCTGAGCTGCTTTGCTCGCTGGAGGCTTCTAGAATTTGAGAAAGATTTTGCCCTTCCCTCCAGGGCAACAACAGGGCTGAAACTACAATCTTTGCCACCATGCCAGAATTACACCTGGGAAACTTATACGTCTCTCGTTTTTGCCCGACTCCAGATCCCCCCCCGTCCTGTGGTTTTGGGAACAGGAACAATTTCATAATAGGCATGCCCGGAACCAAAAGCTTCTACAAGTGTTTCCTTACCCGTGGTTACTATAAATATTTGGGTGCAAAATGTAGTAACGTTTTTCTAAACTTGAAAAGTTGTGTAATGCGCTCTAGAAAACCTTGTTTGAAGAGTTGGCTAAAAATAAAGAAAAGGGTTGGGTTGTTCGGGCAGCCTGGTAATAGACTAACTGTTGGAATGTTAAAATGCCTTATTTCACCCCACGATTTGTCTTAAATCGTGCATTAATTTTAAAAGAACAGGTAGTCCAGGGTTAGGCAACCTTGGCTCTTTTCTGAGAGCCAAGGTTGCCTACCCCTGAGATAGTCCTTGAGTTATGGCCATCGTAGGGATTGGAAAATTGGTTGTTAAGTGGTACCGCTATTACGTGAGGCATCGCGTAAATTTTTGCACCTGATTTTGCAGCCTTTTTTTGCGGTGGTTTTTGAACGAAACACCGCGGTCATTAAATAAGACATCTCATTGACATTTTCCATGCCAGACGATGGCTGGGAAAGTTGCAAATGATGATCGCTGGATGTTGCCACCGTCATAAACAGATGCCAGTTGCCAAACATCATGAGTAAGAGAACTTTGTGATGGTTGTCAATGCAAGGACCGGCTGTAAAAAAAAACTCCCCGGTGCCATCGTAACTTCAAAGGCTCACTAAACAAATAGTCATAATTCGAGGACTATCTGTAATCCGAAACAGAAATGTTCAATTCCAGAAGAAAGCTATGACTGAGCTGATACTTTGTGTAAAAAACTTATTTCGTTCAAGTCTGGCTTTTAAAAAGGAAGCCATAGTCTCTCTCTTCTTTTCTTTTCTTTTTTTTCACATTTAGTCCAATAAGCCAAACATTTTGATTTGCAAATTGTTCTGGCTCTTTAGACTCTACGCCCAAATCCACCTGCACTATAGGTTAGATATGTGTGAATCCTGCCTCATTTGCTTTATAGTTTTTGTCTTCAGGGTATGGTTGCAGCAACGATAATTTGCATAGTCCGGCTCTCACTGACCTGGGCTTTTGATGGCAATGATGGTTTTAATAAAGGAGAATATTTGTAGCTCCAGGTTGAAATAAAGGCTCCTGGATGTTCTCTGAGCTTGTTTTCTTGCAGACATTTCATTACCAAACTAGGTAACATCGTCAGCGTTAGTCCTAGTACTGATGATGATCTTATCTAGTTTGGATAATGAAACATCTGCAAGAAAAACAACCAATCTCGGAGAACACCAAGGACCCTTCCCCCCCCCCCAGTGATAACAATCTGTTTGCCCAAATGTACTGCCATTCCCAAGGCCCCCACGGCTGAAATTATCAATGGAGAATATCATGCACGAAAGGGTGTTTTGCAGGGGAGAAATCTGAGCTTGCAGAATAAAGCTTGGTTTAACCGATTCTACCAAATGCCAATTTGTCTGGCATACTTGCTTGGCTTAACTCATTTTTTTTTTTTTCTTTCTTTCTTTCTTAAACAGGGTTCTTAATGAACCCTGCAACTTGAAAGCTTCAATAAATGTAGGTCATGAAACACAGGTTATTAACGTTTTGTGTGATACTCTTTCCAATCTCCCCGAGGGCTTTCGCAAACTTGTTCAGCCGGCTCAACCTGTTCTGTAGTATCTGTGGAGGTCCATGGGTAGTTCTCGGTCTTCCGAACAATTCCTCTTAAACCTACTGTTATCCGCCCTTCTTGGCAATCTGTCATTTGGGTTCTTTTTTTTTTTTTTTAAAGAAAAAAAAAAAAAGAATTAAGTCCGCAGCCGCGACTGAAGACGTGTTTGGAAGTTGAAATGGAAAGTGTGCTGCCTTCTTTGTATTCGAAATCCTGGCCGCTCTCATGGTATTTATTTAGGAACCTGTCTCCACCTGAATAGCATTCAGGGACTTTAATGGCATTCCTTTGCGTGAAGAAAGGCTGACTGGGCCCGAGCGGTGGGGTGGAGTTGGGGAGCAGGCGGGCAAAGCAAGGGGGGCTGCAGAACCTGGGGACCTGGCAGGCTGGCACCTTGCTTGGCTGGGGTGGTGGTGGCAAAGATGGGCTTTGAGATGGCAGCCTTCTGCGTCAAGGCAGCAGGACTGCAGATGTCAGCAGCTAGTTTCTGTTTCTGCTCCTCAAAGATTTAAGCTCCTGGGTATAGCAGCTAGTGCCTTATCTTCAGCCTGTGAAAAGCATTAATAATAATAATAATAATAATAATAATAATAATAATAATAGTAGTAGTAGTAGTAGTAGTAGTAGTAGTGGGAACAGGTGGGATCATAAAATAGAGAAAGTCGTAGAAAATGATAAAGTTAAACTGCTCTGGGACTTCAGAATTTAAACAGACAAGCACCTGCAACCTAACACCCCGGACTTAATAATTGCCAATAAGAAAGACACAAAAGTCTGGATAGTGGACGTGGTAATACCTGGAGAGAGCCTAATAGACGAGAAAGAACTGGAGAAGATAACAAAATACAAAGACCTATATATAGAAATAGAAAGACCGTGGCAAAGGTAAGCAAGGGTAGTACCAATAGTAATAGGCGCCTTGCGTGCAATCCCAAAACAACTGGAGCACCACTTGAACACTATCGGCATGGACAAATTCACCATTAGTCAATTGCAAAAGGCGGCCTTATTAGGAACTGCTTCCATCCTGCGACGATATCTGTAATACCATCAAACATCCACATCTGCCTATCCCAGGTCCTTGGTAAGGACAAAAATGCCAAATCTAGTCTGAACATCTGGCTGACTGTGCGATTATTCTTAATAATAATAATAATAATAATAATAATAAAAAGTTGGAAGGCCTATTTCAACCAATCAGAATAGAGCTGGAAGGGATCTTGGAGGCCATCTAGTCCAACCCCCTGCTCAGG